ACCTTGACAAGCAAACCCAATACAGGACTTGGCGCTGGAAAGGCACCACCTGAAAGGACACCGGTACCTGCAGAAGGGACCCCGCTGGGGCACCCACTCTGGCGGGGGAGGAGTGTCTCCTCTTCCAGAACAAAGAGGTTTGAAAGGATGTTCTCTGCTAAGTCTCACTTACGGACTGATGGGGTGACTGCCAGTCAGCTCTCGCTGCAGATGATACTTTCATCTCAGCAATTTGAATTGCAAAATGTGTTTTCTTAACGTCTCCCTTCCTTTTTGTATCCAGCATCTTTGTCAGTTTTTATGTAACAAAACCTATTTTAAAATACTGGGTTTGGGTATTTTAGCTGAAATTGGCTTTCCAGCTAAATGTACTTTCACCCCATTGCAGGAAAATCCCATTATTTAGCACAGAACTGCACCCTTCAAAATTCTCTGCAAAAAGTAAGACATGGGAAAGTTGTGCTTCCTAAAAAATGTTAACCTATATTGTTGCTTAAATAACTGTATAAGAAAAAACATCCTCTGATTAGTTTAAAAAAAATCACATTTAATGTAAAGATTTTATCTGGTAGCAAATGAAAGTATTTCATTATTTTAATACCACCCAACAAGAGCTAACAAGAACCATTTCTCTGGGAAATAAAACTGCTGATGTAAAATAATATTAAAGCAAATTATTTTAATCATTCTCTTCTCTTGGAGCGTGCCATGGTTTTGAGTTACTCATGTTGAAACCCTGTATCTATAAGACAGACAATATTAGGGCTTCACTGCCCCTAACACGTGGGTCCATCAGCAGGGTCTGTCTCCCATCCGTCTATCCATCCCAAGCACTGACCAGGATTCACATATATTTTTGTGAGTTTACTCAATTTTTTACATGCACTTGTGAAAACAACTCTTTTTTTTTTTTTTTTCCTTTTTTCATTTTTATACATAAGCACACATATGAAAATGTCCATCATTTATGCAGGGTCAGCATCTTAAATTCAAACACTAGATTCCTGGCTGCTGTAGATTCGGTCCTTTGAAGCGTATGGAGCTGCAGTGACCTCCAGCAGCTGGAGACCTGGCCCTAAGCAGCCTCTGCATTTCTAATGCACTTCTGGTGTCCCAGGGCGGGAAAGAAAATGCAGTATTTGTTCATGCCATCATTGTCAACCAGCAATTTCCACAAGGAACTTTTCAGTGGAAACACTTGTTTTCTGCTGGGCTCAGCGTTGACATAACAGAAAAGCTTTTTATCCCCCTGGAAGCCTTCCTGGGCACGAGTTATACTATTTAAACACTCTTTTCTTTGCTGTTAATATAAAAAAGCTGAGGGAAATGAAAATATTCAGAGTGACATGGCAAAGCAGGGATAGGGGACTTGTTGAAAATAAAGCTGAATTGTCCCTGTCAAGGGAAGCACTGGAAACATCTGGGAGAAAAGCAGCAGCACAGGCTGTGGGGTGAGCAGGAGAAGCAAATAATTCATTAAGACGCTGCTGCAAAGCAACCACTTCCATAATTCAGAGGGACAGCACGCAACGCACTCCTGGCTAAGGAGCCAGATGGCCCAAAAGCAATCTGAATGGGGCTGTATGAAACCAAGGTTATGTATTATTCCAGTTTATTTCGGCTGTCGGTGAGGAAAGCGGTCCTCAAGCCAGGCCACCCTTTGGTGCCCTGGCACAGCCGGGCAGTCACGTCCTCACAGCTTTCTGGGCCCAGTACTCCTTCGCAATAGTAAATTTATCATTCCTTCTGCAAAAGAATAGATGTTTATTAATGTTCAACTCTCTAGTCATAGTAAAGGAGAGTCTTAATTAAGTCATTAGCAGCTGTTGTGAGTTCTGTAAACCTGAAAGAGTAAGTAGTATTAATACTATTAAAAATGTATAACGCTTTTCTCTCTTTCCTTTATGTTATAAAGTATCTCAAGAAATTGCTTGAAAGCTGGTATGCAAAAAAAAAAAAAAAAAAAAAGAAATAATGAGGGTGTGGGGCCCATTTCAGCCGTAACAAAAACTGCTGAAACACCAAACTTGCAGTCCCCCTCCCGAGGTGCCGGCCCCGCTGTGGACCCCGTCAGCACCAAACCACGCATGGAAATAGTGACCCGGAGCCCTGGGAGCGGAAAGCGTGAAAACCAAAGAGAAAACCAAAGCACCCTCCTGGGATGGGCAAGAGCCGTGCCACTCCACGCACAGCGGGGTCTGACCCCCGACAGTCTGCAGAGCCTCCAACAATTTCCTCTGGCGGTACGGGGTATGGGGCATCCAAAGGGGAATTTAACTGTCAGGCAGCAGGACGGCTTTTGTTAGCCATGGGAGATTTATGATCTTTCACAAATAGCTTATAGGAGTCCCTGGGCAGCCAGAACTCTGCAAATGGAAATGGCTGGCCAGCAACCGAAAGGAAACCTTCTAAAAAGAGCACAGGAGGAGCAAGCCTCCAAAGATTTCAAGTCCGCTACCAATTTTAAGATTTCTTTCTGCTGGTTCTACAGCTGCCTGGAAAAGCTGGACACAACAGAGCACCACTGTGAGTTTATCCTTTCACGGGTAAAACCTCTCCGTAGCTGCCCACTCAAGCACAGGGCAAGAAAACAACAGGTACATTCAACTTTAATGAAATAATCATCAGTTATGTGTACAGCTATAACCGAGGGAAAAACCAGCTACAGAAAGGATGCAAACACAACCCTGGATGTGGAGCAACAGTCACAGGGGCCAGGCTGGACCAAAGCATCTCTGCCATTCTCCTCCTCTTTTGAAGACGTGTTTCGCCTAAAAAGCAATACTGAAATACATCAAATCCTCCAAAAACTGCTTAGCTGGCTGACAGGAGATGACAGCATGGCCCCGCGGGGTCATTTTGTGTTTCTTTACTAGAGCCCGGACATCCTCCTCCGCAGTCGACACCAGTGGGGCCCCACAGAGATGCTGCGGCCCTTTGCTCGGCACCGACCTGCTGCGGCGCCCAGTGTAATCACACGAGCAACCTCCAGCATCAGTATGGCTCTTCTCAGGGCGCTGCAGCAGCTCCAAAGGTACATATAAATGTCCTTAAAAAGTCCCTTTCAAAACTATGGCAAAATACCTGGAAGGACCAGTAAAGCCATTAAAATTGTACACACGGAATTATCGATATCTGATAACTTATTAAATAAATTCACAGAAAAAGAAGACACTTTTTTCTTTAACATCCTCTGATTTTTCCTAAGTTTTACTCGCACAGAAACAAGCTGTGGCACTCACTGTTCACCGTCCTCTCATAACAATGGAGATGCTTTATCAAAGTTTAAAATGTGGTTGCGCACCAGGTACTAGGAAAGTTTACAGCCCTTGTATTTTAACAGGAATCCAGATCCTAGGTGGGAAGGGAAATCTCAGCGCACCGCCTCTGGTCAGTGAGCAATTGCCAAGCGAGGCTGCTATTTCTGTACCGGCTGAGAAATACGCAAGAGAATTTTCTCAGCAGAACAGGCTGCCTTGCCCACAGCTGTACGTAAATCCCAGCCGCGCAGATGCGATCCCAAATTATTAAAAGGCCCCTTTCTCTTGGAGAGCCGGTAGTTAGAGGTGATGCTCGCAACACGCACGTTACACTGGTGCGAACCCCCTCGGAGCAGGGCAATTTGTGGGTTTTGACAGCGATTGGCCTGTCCGGGCATTTTACGGCCATGTCCCCTGGCCCTCATGGCTAGATTTTTTTTCTTTTTCCCTGAGGACTTTGGTAAGATCACTCCGGCATTTCCCTGCATGTTTCAGAGCATGCTACGTGGCGTGCCAGAGCCAGCCGGAGCCCGGCAGCAGCGAGCCAGGCGTAATGCGCATTTCCCAGGGGATGCGCGGGCTGGCTGAAGCCAGGCAGGCTTTGCAGCGAGGGGGGAGAGGTGCGGGACAGGCTGCCGCCAGCACGCAGGGACGCCGGCAGCGCTCGGACCAAACCTCCTCCCTCCTCAAAGCAATTCCAGCGCCGGCAGCACGTCGCGGCTCCCCAAACTATATCACCGCCGAGGCAATAGGCGACTGCGAACACGCATGCAGCTCACTGCTATTTATATCACATGCCATATAGCAAAAAAATACGCTACATCCGAGGACAGCTTCCCCACAACATCGTGGCGGGGGCGATGCAAGGTGAAGGAAGGAGAGGGGCTCCCCGCAGTGGGCACGCTCCCACCCAGCCCGCGCCGCTCACGCTGCTGGGAATTTTGCCTGTTGAGCTTAACGGTGCGAGAAAGGGCCCCCCAGAAAATGAAGCGATGTCTTTTCCTTGGCGTTCGCGCAGCCTGGGGTCAGCAGGGCGGGCGGCTGATGCCGTGCTTTAACGCGTCTGGAAATGCACAGGCTGCTCGTGACGGGGGAAGAGGCCGAATGAAAAACGCCGCTCGCTGCAACCATCCGGCTTCGTGCGACGTGACAGCAGGGGTGACCACGGTCTCGGGCATCCGTACGTAGTGAGTACCTGTTTGCAATACCAAACACCGGCCTGAGCCTGTCTGGCATTGACATCTTCGTGTTAACATTGCAGTCACTTCACCCTCCCTTGTCTCCGCCGAACCCCAGGGCAAACCTCCAGCCGTGTCCAACGTGTCCCGAATGCAGCCCAGCAGCAGGTCGGGCGCTCCCCGCCTCTCAGGACCTTCCACGAAATGCACAGTACATACAGAGCTACAGCATGAACAGCGGGGAAACCCACCACGGATGACAGCAGAAACATGGCCTTGACATAAAGATGCCAATAAATGAAAATACAGTCGCTGCAACACCTTCGTTCAACTGCAGTTGATGGCACTGCCTGAAGCCCCAGCCCCAGACGACACGCTGTACGTAGCAGGGTCTGCCCCACGTCCCAGGATCCATTTCACAAAGACACACAACTGAACGGGCATGCAGAATTAACTACACCTCAGGTCTCCTCAGGAGACCTTCGAGCTTCCCCCACCCCCGAAGGCCAAATGGAGCTTTAAATCACTCCCTGTACTCTTTATTTTGGGGGCATCGCTGCCATCACAGAAAATTGTTGTGTTTATTCTGTTCCAGAGCCATTTCATTGACCAGCTGCTCTATGGATGACTGAATGGCGGCCTTCACGAGGGAAGACGCGGTTTCTATGAGGAGCAACTCGTACTGCTCCCCAGTTCTGTGCCCTTGGTCACCTGGACCCTTCTCCTCCGCCTGGGGACAGCCGCCAGCCTCGGGGCCCTCTTTTTTACCATAATCAAAGCTCCCGCTTGATTTTTTATTCCCTTTTTGCTTATTTCGGTGCAAAACCGGGGACGGCTCATAGGCCTGGTCAGAGTCGGTGTGGTCAGAGTCCTCAGCTTCGGTGATGGTGATGACAATGCCGATGCCGATGCCGGCGCCCGCGTTTCCTTCTAATGTCACCTGATGGCTGGAGCAGCCCTGCAAGCTCAGTGCACCATCTTTAGATGCCGACTGACTGGAATCCATTACAGTCTCTTCGGCTTTGCACTCCTCAGGAAGATTTATGCTCTTTTCTGATTCATCCCCTTCAGGCAGCTCTTTACAGGTATTAGGGGTTTCCTGCAGCTCGGTGGGTTCAGGGGCGCTGCCGGCTTCATCCTTGGAAACAGGTGCTTCAGGAGCAACGTCCCCACCTTCTGCACAGACTGTGGTTTGGGGCAGACTCCCCTCCTGCAGTTTTTCCTGGGCTGTTTCATTAACCGTCTCTGAATCGGTTATCTCCAACTGAGCGGTACACTCCGTATGTTCATCTGCATCAGGTGTGGGCTCTGTCAAGTGCTCAGTCTTCCCAACAGAGTCGGCGCTTTCCTTCGCCGTATCCTGGTCCTCCTCCGCGGAGGTCGGGCTGAAGGATTCAGACTTGTCCATCGGAGCCAAACCCTCTGGCTCTTCACTAGCTTTATTCAAAATGCCCACCACTTCGTTTGCTTGAACACTGCCCTCCGACTCCTCCACCGCTTCAGAGGAGCTGCGTTTTTTCTTGCCTCTGGAGAACCGTACACAAGGCATCTTCACCCCGGAGCTCGCCCGTTTCTTTGGGAAGCCTCGCGTGCAGCCCTCCTCAGCATCTGTCTCCAGCTGCACTTGGGAATCAGAGGGCACCTTCTTCCGCAAGGAGGATTTTTGGCTTCTCCGAGGTCTCGTGAGGTTTTTGATGGCTGCCCAGGCTCCTTTGGAGGATCGTGATTGATTAGAAACTTTCACCTCCGCTTGGTCGGTGCTGACACATTGGCTTTTCTCTTCCAAGGCTCCTTCGCATGCATTCTTCCCAGTTGGCCCCTTCTTACAGGACTTCTTCCGCTTCTTAAAACAGAGCATGGAGGGTTTTTCTGCCTGTTCTTCTGACGGGGAGCCCGTCGCCCCCACGCTGTGAGTCTCTGCCTCTCTTGGGTTCTCCATTTGAATTTCCTTAGCTGCCTTCGCCATATTCACTCGTCTCCTTCGTTTGTGTTATATTATTGATTTTCTTGATTAACGTATCAGACAGGAACTGCAGAGATGCTCAAAGTGCATTTTTTTCCTCAAATTGTTTTCCAAATAATGTTAGATGCTTTTTAACGAGCGGATGCGGCAGTGAAGAGTAGTTCTGCTGAAGCTATTGCATCCGCTTTATAACTCCCACTTTGTCTTATTACTCACTTCATCACCTCTCCAAGGAATCCCGCGTAGACATGAAGTTGAACAGGCTTCTCCTTGGCTTTGCTGGCCAGAGTCACTCTCACCTCCAGGACAACCCACTTCAAGTTGCGCTCAGTCTAACAGCACGACTATTGAATTGCCAGGCTGACATCACTTTTTTTTTTTTCCCCCAAAGGATGACAAATCAAGGCAAGAGTTAATAATTTTTATTCACCCCACGGACCTGGAAAGAACTTGCACTTTCTGAGCTATCTGCAATTCCACATTGTTCAGGGAACTTGATTGAAGCACCAGTACAACCAGCGGCAGCCAGTGGCTGTTTTCTGCCCCCCAGTGACAAGGTCAGACGCTGCTTTGTCTCAGCTTTGCTTTCTGCTTCAGTTCCCCTCGCAGGTTTCGTGAGTTTTGCTGCGAAGCATGGCCGACACTTCCATCTTTTATCTGTAACACAACAAGCAAATGATAAGACCTGTAGAGCATTTTTAAGTATTAAAAAGTATATATTTTTAAAAAGAATATTTCATTTTGGGAGGCAGAGCAGGGCTGCAAAAGCAGTTCTACCTCTGGATGCACCATAGCACTTTTTTCCACTAATTAGCATCATATGTCCAAAGGCAAAATAAGGCCACCAAGATGTCAACTCAGTGATGTTCCACCACAGAAAGTACTATTTTGCCATTTTGTGTGGTAAAAATGGATTTTTTTTTTAATTGCCTATATAATGGCAAATATATATTACGCATGCACACGCATGTATTTTCTTCTCCTACGGTTAGCTAAATCTTTTCCCCACTGCTCCATACACACTCATAGTTCCAGCTAGGGAAATTACACCCTGAGACAGCAGATATTTTTATCTTTAATGCACCATATGACAATATGCAAAAACACAGAATACAAAAAGGAGGCTTGTGGAATACAAAAGCAAAATCACATGGCAAGAAGGAAGCTTATTTATACTACGTGCATGCCTTCCATGGCAACCTCAATTAACACTGCATGTGTTCATCAAATATATTATATTGCAAGATACATCTCACCCTTAAAAAAAAAAAAAAAAAAAAAAAAAAAAGCGCTGCCCCAAAACATCATCAGAACATTTTTGGATATAAAGATGAAGAAATGTGTTACCGCAAACAGAACAACTTCTCCGGGACTGGCTCGGTGACTCCGGGCAATGCTTTACACAGGGTTTGTACTCTGCTTTTAAGTAGTAAGCTGATTTAAAACGGGGGCTCCGGCGGGGCGTCCTCCCCCGCGGAGCAGATTCGTATTTTTTTTTATATTTTTTGTTAATTTCTTTTAATTTTTTAAGAGGGAAATGAGCTAAGCTGACAGCGGTGCGTGTGAGGGAGAGCATCCCGCGGCCGCCGCTGCCCCGAGCGCAGCCCGCAGC